CGGGCTGGGGATTCGAACCCGCCACCTTAGGTGTACGTGGCTGGCGCCTTAGCCGGTTGAGCTATAGGCGCCGAGCCCAAGTGACCGTTTTGATTCAGCCTCCCAAGTAGCTGGGACTACAGACACCTGCCACAATGCCCAGCTATTTTTTAGAGATGGGTTTTTTGTTTTTGTTTTTGGTTTTTTTTTTTTTGAGACAGAGTCTGACTTGTCACCCTAGGTAGAGTGCCCACAGCAAACTCAGACTCTTGGGCTCAAGCAATTGCCTCAGCTTCCCAAGTACAGGTGCCCATTACAGTGCCTGGCTATTTTTATTTTTATTTATTTATTTTTCTTTTTTATTGAATGGTAACTATGTACATTAATGCACTTCTGGGGTACAATGTGGTGTTTTCACACACAATCCGAAACACTTCCATCAAACTGGTTAACATAGCCTTCATGTCATTTTCTTAGTTATTGTGTTAAAATGTTCATATTCTACTCTTAGAAAGATTCACGTGTACCCTTGTAAGATAAAACACAGAAGTCATCCCTCCAACCCCCTCCCTCCGCCTGGCTATTTTTAGAAACGGGGTCTCGCTCTTGCTCACGCTTGTCTTGAACCTGTGAGTTCAGGCAGTTCACCCACCTCAGCCTCCCAGAATGCTAGGGTTACAGGTGTGAGCCACCATGCCCTGGCCCCTTAGAGATGGGGTCTTGCTCTTGCTCAGGCTGGTCTGGAACCCGTAAGCTCACACAACCCACCTGCCATGGCCTCTCAGCGTGCTGGGATGACAGGTGTGAACCACTCCACCCAGCCCTCCATCATCATCCTTAAATTTTGTGTGTGTGTCGTATTAAGACAGTTTTTCGTTCGCTCTCCCCACTGAGAAATAATCAGACCATCCAATTTCATTCCCCCTCCTCATGTTCCCTGGGTTTTCCTGAGAAAGAATGTGATGGAAAGCTTGTGAGTGACATATTTTTCATTTTATTGAAATTCTTTCTTACAAAAGGTCAGGTCTGATGTATTTTAGGCCAGGCCTGATTTGCTTTAGTCCCTGAAACACAGGTCCATGGTCAGCTCCATGTCCTCTTAAGTAGGTATGTAAACTAGTAGACTTTCATTTTAAGGTCCAAACACTTTTCAACATTGTTTTCATTGGATGTAGAACAAGACTTCTGTTTTCCCCAATGAAAAGACCGAGAGAGTTATATGGGTCTTCACAGGTCGAGCCATTGGATTCTTGGCCAGAACTGAGTCGGGAATTTATTTTGTTCAAAGTGATGTCTTTCCACTTTTAGTTTGTTTTTTTTTAAATGCAGTGTGTTGAGCTATGTAGTAAAGAGTGCCATGTTTATATATGCATACATGTATTGGCTCTGGAGAAAGATGCATGAGTTTATGCGTGTTAGGTAAACATAGCAATTGGTCAAAAGGAGAGTTCCTCATCTTTATGACGTTAATGAGTAGCAAGCGTACCGTAAGCAAGAATGAACGATCGAGGGCACATTTGGGCTTGGTTGTCAGCCAGGAACTTTGCTGGTCCTATAGCTGGAGGGGCCCAGGCCTCAGGCTACCCACATAGGCCAGTGCTCACCCTACTTGACAGGTGACCATGTATCTGTGGTCTGGCCTTGAGTCTGTGATTCCCCCAAAGTGAGGCGGGTCTGAACTCACTTGCTACCATGTAGTGCCTCTAACTCTAGAACGAGAACCAGTTCAACTTCCTCCTTGTGTAACAATCAGGATGTGATCCACTTGTCACCGGGATGGGAGCACAGAGGGCTGAGGCCCCTCATTCCTCCTGGAGGTTAGAGGGAATCCTCACTTCTTTCCACCTCTACCGGATCTACCAGGATTTGCGTACTCCTGACCACAGATTCACACCTGAAAAGCCTTGGCAGGTACAGTGTCATCCCCGCCGACAGCTCTGAGACACAGGTGACTTGGCTTCTACCCAGACTGCCTGATGACTGAGCACTGGACTCAGTCGACACAGAGGCTCCTGTGTCACCCTTCAAATCATCTCTCCTCTTACACAGATGCTTGGTCTGGAAGCCAGTCACACACCATGGGTTCCAGAGTGTGCAACGTTCTAGTCACACATGCTTTGAGCCCGAGCTTCTTGCTCAGGCCTAGCAAAAACGCATTAAGGGTCAGGTGGGAACACAGACTCAGTCGTTCTGTCTTCTGACCTGTGGCCCAGGGGAATGGGCCAGTTAAGTGCTGCCTGGAGGTTAGGTTTTACCTGGACTGACATGCCTTGTACCAATACAGCAAAGCAGATAAATGAATTTAGCACCCAAGATACTATCTAGCACACCATCCATTCACTGATCCCTTCATCCCCCTTCTCCAAATCTAGCAGGGTTCCTGCAGGTGACTTGCACACCCCTCTGCTCCTATAGTCTCCTCTCTGTCCCTTCCCCAGATGAACAGATGGTGTGCAGAGGCAGAGTAGAGAGGGGAAAAGGCATCGCTCAGGGCTGCCTCTTGCTGGAGAGGAAGGTAAACTCTCGGCCTAACTGACATTTGGGAATCATCTGAAGAGTAAATGATCCACAACGTCTCCCATCAGACCAAGGCACTTGTCTCTGGCATGTTCTCAGCATTCTGCAACTAAGAGACCCAAGGGGACATGGGTATTGAGGCCCTCTGCCTGATGCTCAGAAGGCTGAGCAAAGTGTCCACCCAGCTGACCCTGTGCAGAGAGCCTGTTGGGAGGGGGAGATGGTCAGCAGACTCCAGAGTCACACGTCGGAGCAGACGTCCAAGAGGAGAATGATGACAGGCCCCACACCCCTGCAGTAGGAGCAGGAGGCAGGGGCTGGGGGCGCTAGGCTGGGTGAGGCAGAGGTGTGGTCAGGTGGCCCTGAGCCACGCCCCCACCCCAGGGCTGCAGGAAGGAGGCTTGGCACAGGCTGTCAGCTTTGGGCCGCGCCCACTTTCAGTATCTATTGCACGTCACTCCAGCGTCCTCGGCATGACCACAGTTTGTCACCCCCCATTTGGAGAAGCTGCAGCGGAAGATGGTGTCCTCGGTGCCCTTGCAGGCGACATCGTCCATCCAAATCCTCCCGGTGCCTGTAGAGATAACACAGTTTCTCAGCAGAGATCCAGGAGGGTTGGGAGGAGGAGAGGGAGCACAATGTCCACCTTTGACTGGGCTGCCCCTGGCTCTGCTCCCCCTACTCCCATCCGAGGCCTTCCAGCTGCTGTCTCCGCCCCACTAAAGCCTCATACTTATTTTCTAAGTTCAGTTTCTCGAGGGCGGAAGCACAGTAATCAGTGGTGATGTTGGTAGCATCTGTTACTGTCTTCTATACGTCAGACATCTCACACATAATGTACTTCCTCTGTCTTGGCTATAGTCTGGAAGGTAGATATTTGTAAACCCATTTTATAGCTGGGAAAACTAAGGCTCAGAGAACAACTGGTACAAGGTCAGTTTGTAAGTTGCACAGTCTGAACTCAAACCCAAGTCTTGCTGCCTCCCAGGTTTGAGACATGCTCTCTTTGTCCTAATCGGAGGAATACAGTCAAGCAAATTCTGGATTGTCCCAGTGCCCCAGAGCCAAGCATGCCAGTACCCATGTCACTGTTGATCTTCTGGAGTTTAAAGCAGATGGTTTCATTTTGTGACAATGGCTCTGGAATAGCAAGGGAGCCCGGAATCCAACATTAAAATCAGATGTAGATTTAAGGATATGCAGGAGCATCCCTGAACCGTGTCTAATTAGGTTAGTTCTCTGCACACAAGGTCCCTAAAACAATCTGATAGTGTTCTTTGTAGCCAGCCCTGTTAACCAGCTGCTAAGGGGATCAACCAGAAGATCTGAAGGTGCCAGGAAGGGGCCCTGGTGCTTAGTACCTGAGCCTAAAAGGCACAAACTTGGCACTGAGGTCCTCAATGATTCCTGGGAGGATAGAACAGCTGGGCAAGCCTTGGAGAGTGAATGGAGAGGGCTCATGGGGGGGGGCAGAGGGAGCAAGCCACACAGAAGTCACCCTAAGGCCCCACTGAAGGGCTGGCAGGATCATCACCCATGGACTCTCTGGGGTGCCTCCGATGGTGGGTACCCATTCAGGAGCCCTCGGGAAAGATCCCTGAGTCCCAGGTGTCCCATGGAAGCAGTGGCTGGAGCCTCACTGATCAAAGTGAGATCCTGGCCCCCGAGTGATGGCATCTCAGGGAGTGTGTTAGAACTGCAGGACCCTAGGGTGCATGAGCCCATGCGCCAGCATCTCCATTTTTCCAAAATGGCCCTGCACTGCAGCCTGTGAGGCAGGACATTCCTGGATTCAAGTCTCGGCACCATCGGGGGCGACTGTGATAGTTTTCAAACTGGGATGGGCTTCCCAGGGCATGGGGCTTCCAGAGCTAAGACAAGGAAAGCTCCAGGCAAACCAGACTGGCCAGTCACCCCGGCACCTCCCTTGTAAGGTCTGTGGCCTGGCACCAAAAAAGCACAGGGTTTAGGGTCATAAACCAGGTTCCAGCATCTCTGGCTGGGTCACCCTGAGCAGGTCAGTGTGGTAACAGTCCCCGGATGGGAAAGGGCTTTGACATAAACCAAAGCAGCCACACAGCCTCTCCTACAGCAGAACTGTCAGAATATGAAACTTGAACTCTGCCTGAGCAGTGCGGGTGAAATCTGCTTTAGAAAGAATGTCAAGGGAACTTCGCAGCCTCCTCACTGCTGACGGAATCTACAGCACCAATGAGCGGCTTAGATGGATTTTTGTTATGTAGAGACTCTTAGCATCTGTTGTCAGAGGATTGCCGTGAAGTGAATCTGGGGACAGAGCAGGGAGGGGCAGCCTCCTTCCGCTGCCTTCTGGACGTTGTCCCTTCTCTAGAGCCTCCTCCTGGCCTGGGCAGCCGGGCTCTTACACAATACGCCCTTAGAGGCAGAGCAATAACTCGCAGATTAAACGTCTCCTGGAAAACATGTCAGTGTACAAATTACCCAGGAAAAGGCTGCAGGCCCGAGAGCCCTGAAGGATTAATCACACCCAAAGCCAACGGGCCCCAGGTCGCCCAGCCCAAATACATACATAGGAAGGATCTCAAAACTCAGCGCTAGCTGGCGTGTAGTCAGGGAGTTTAGGATAATGTCCTGTCAGGGAAGGACCAGTAAATAGAATAGGGTCATTAAGTGAGCTGCACGAATCTCTGCAGTGACAACGGTGGGCGTAGCTGGAGCTCAGGAGGAATTCCCTGGCTGGAGGAGGAGAGGCCTTCCCAAAGGAGGATGGTGCATGAGATGTGGGACATTAAACAGCATTATCTGTGTCTCAAGGACCACGGCGGATGCACAGATGAAGACAATTGCACACGGTTGCCTGGGAGACAGGAGCTCCTGCTGCAGCTAGAGTGTGGGAAGGGGCAGGTGCCACCTGGCAGAATGGCAGTCAAAATGACTCTGGCTTTGTAGAGGAGCCCAGTCCTGGGATCCGAGGACCTTCTCCCCGTGCCCTTTGCTTTGGAGCCTTACCTTGCCCAAACCGGGCAGTCCGGTACACCTCCTCCACGCCACGGAAGCCCAGCATGCGGCAGACGACGTCCCCATCCTTCTTGTCCCAGCCATCGTCACACACAGTGCCCCAGCGTCGGTCATGGAACACCTCCACCCGGCCCTCGTGCGGCCCTGAGCCATTCACCAGGCGGATCACCACTGGGGCCTCCAGGACACCTGCGGGGAGCAGCAGACTGTCACTACTCAGCTGTGACACAGCAGGACCCTCCTCTGATTGCCCTCTGCCCCTGAGATAGGACCCCGAGGCCACCCGTGTTCTCCTGCCTTTGTCAGCCTTTCCCCCACCCCTTCCCTTTCTTTCCAGTAGCTTTTTTTTTTACAAGAGCAGTTTAAGTTCATGGTGAAGTTGGAAGGAACAGAGAGCTCCCATCCACCTGCACCCCCAAACAGTCTCCCACTGACCCCAGAGCGGATGGAGCATTTGGTACAGTTGATGAGCCTGCCCGCAGCCCATAGTTCACACCAGGGCTCCTCCTTGGAGTGTGTGCTCTGTGCCTTTGGACAATGTATAACGATGTGTATTCATTACAGAATCACATGGGAATGTTTGCACTGCCCTAAAAATCCTCTGTGCTCCGTCTATTCATCCCTCCCTCCCCTGACCCGTGGCAACCACTGATCTTGTTATTGTCTCCACACTTTGGCCTTTTCCAGAATGTCACAGAGTTGGAACCGTATAGTACACAGACTTTTAGACTGGCCTCGTCTCAGTGATATGCATTTAATTTTCCCCCATGTCTTTCCACAGCTTGATAACTTATTTCTCTTTAGGACTGAATAATGTTTCATTGACTGGATAGACCATGGTTTATTCATCCATTCACCCACTGGACAGCATCTCGGTTGCTGCCAGGTTTTGGCAATGATGGATAAAGTCTACTTCATTTGGGTGAATACCCAGGAGTGTGGTTGCTGGATTCCTCTCCACCATTGGAGACCTGGTGACCAGCAGCCACACCTGCCAGGGAGGAGGGTGTGGGGGAAACAGGAAGGCAAGGGGCGGTCAAGGCTTTGTGGGCAGGGGCCTTGCTGTGTCCTCTGAACGGGCATGCCCATCTACTGCCCACTAGGCTGTGAGTGTGAAAGGGCCTTAAGCCATACAAAGCCAAGCGTGAATTCTGGCTCCGCCACCCACTATCCACAAGTGAAAGATGGTGGATCATCAGATCTGAGATGTCCCTGGTTGCATGGCACCTCAGCGTTCTCTATGCCACTAAGAATTATGTCAGCTGCTGGATGCTTCCCAGTTTCATGAATGTTAAAATGTGTATACCAGAATCCATGAAATATGGCAACAGATAGAAAGAGCTTGGACTGGCACCTGGTACGCAGTAGGTTCTTTCTTCCCAAATGACCTTAAGGAGGTCTCACAGCCTCTCTGAGGGCATTTTCCCAACTGTGACGTGGGGAGGACACCCATGTAGCAGGACTGTTGTGCAGACACAATGAGACAGGGCACAGGAGATGCTGAGCACAGTGCCTGGCGTTTGGCAGCACCAGCAGTGAGGGTCTGCCCCCTGCTCCGAGGTCTGAGACCCTGTTGCATCCATCTCGGAACTCAGTGCTGCTCACAGAACCCGGCTGGAGGGAATGAGCAATAGACATTTGCTGAATGGTGCAAAGAGTCACGCCTGTGCATTCTAAAGCACTGTATCAGTTCTCCAAGGGGAAAATTGGGGGTGGAGGGGCTCAAAGAAGAAGGCCACAATCCTAAGAAGGCTTCACATCGATGCAAAGCCAGGCTTTGGCAGGGGAGTCATAGTTTCAGGGCCATACACACACTCAGTGCCAGGGTAACGACCACAACTTGGTCTCTTGATGTGTCTGCCAACATCTTGCTTGTCCCCGGGGGCTATTTTCCCCTGGGGGACCCGAGCTTCAGTGGCTCTGGAGTCTGGCTGTGTATCAAGTTCATTGGGAAGGCCAGATTCCTAGGACAGCCAAAACCTACTACACCAGTCTTGGTGGCAGGAACTGGGGTTTTCCCAGTATCCCAAGCGATTCAGAGGTAACTGGTCTGTGAACAAGCTTTTGGGAGAGACAGATTAGACAATCAATAAATCTCCTTCCAGCTCCAACCCTCAGGGACTCCAAGGCCAGGGAAGAGGTCAAGGTCATCTTATTTTTGCAGCCAGAACATGAGTGGTGGGGGTAGAGGACAATGAACTATGACCCAGTGATAAGTGGGTCACACTGTACAGAAACCCCCCCCCATGTGAACTGCCAAAGAAAACAGCAAATCCACTCAAGTGCTACTCCCAGCAAGTACGGCACCCCAGGGCTTCTTTTTCTTTTATTGGGCCAGGTAGGCTGGGGACACCCCCTTCTAATGGCTGTGACTTGGCAAAGACCTTTTCTCACCACTTTGGGAGATGGAAGAATCATTATCTGTGCTCACAGGAGAGAGAGACAGAACTCAGAACCAGCCACACCCCTGGGCTGGGGAAACCCCAGAATATTCTGTGTAAGGACCGAGGAAGCCACCAGGAAACCACCCCATCCCCAGGATGCAGAGTGACTGTAGTGTGACCACTGTGAACACCTCTGTCAGTACTGAATGCCTTGGCTATGGACCTTTCATCTCTGCCCAGTGACCACTCTCTCCACAGAGGCTGAGACTCCCATCAGCTGTCAAAGAACAGGCCAAGGATGAGCAAAAGAATTCAAAAATCCTGGACAAGGAAGACACAGAGAGGAGCTGGGACCCAAAGGCCACAGCTGGCACAGAGAGACCCCCAGGGAGCCGCAGGACAGGCTGCCCTGGAGATAGCAGCACTCAGAAGGGCCGGCACTGTGTGGGGGCCTGGCTGTGGGGTGGCTGAGGCTGAGCACCAGCCCTGGTTTCTCACAGACCCACCTCTGCCCACACCAAGTCATGTGGCAGTGGGCCAGGCCACACCAGGAGGCCCAGGACAGAAGCTGCAGTGCGGGGTCAGTGAGTAGGGCCACAGGCAGCAGGAGGATGCTGCAGGCTGCGGAGAAGGCCACAGACTGAGATTCGATCTACTTACAAAGGAGACTGCCCCAATTCAGGCACTCGGACCATCCAGCAGGCTGTCCCACTGACAGTGTCACTGCCCTACTTTGCCTGCAAAGAGCTATGGCGGGTGATGGCAGGAGCTTTCCCAGGCCTGAGCCGTGATGCCACCTCCCACAGTGCACTCCGGGAATCACCAAACACCTTCCAACAGCAACCCCCTCTCTAGCCTAAAAGGACATCATGACTTCCTCAGAGGTTTAGGTTTCTGTGGGCAGAGGGTTTAAACTCTGCCTTTTCCCAGAAGTTTCTGCTCCAGGGCAAACCTTTCCCACCCAGCAACTAACCACCACTCACCCCACAGATGCGTCAGTCCCCGTGCCCCTCAGGACACTTCTTATTCCTCTGGGAGCTTGCCAGGGTGGTCCCTGCAGGGTGAGTGGGGCTCCTTGTATGTGACAGGGTAGAAAATAGGGGGCAGGGTTCCCGGTTGTTAAAAATTCTGGCACTTCTCACACTGTAGCAAGAGGGATGTTCCTTATCGAGGGCGTGCAGGATGAACAACAGGACCCCAGGCTTCCAACGTTGCAGCCACTTCTGATAATGGCCTCACATTGACTGAGAGGCTCCCAAGCCCTGAAAAGTCCTTCCTGAGCAGTGAGGTCAGCAACCCTAGAACAGCCCTGTCCCCCACTGGCCCCATGTAGGGTCTGGTTTGAATTCCTCAGGTAAAGGAGAGGGTGCCTCCCCTTCTCCTGTGTCCCCCGCCTGCAGACTGGGCTCTCCCCGTCTCAGTTGTAAGTTGATGGATGGTATCAACCACAAGGCCAGCTCTACTCAGTTTTGGTGGCACTGCATGGCACTGGCAAGGTCCACCTTGTGGCTGGAAAAGCTAAGCCTATGGGAAATAGTGAGTCGCTGTCCCTCACCAAAAAAGAGAGGATGGGTGGAAGCTGTTTGCACTTGACAGCTTGTCCCAGTCCCCAGCCCACAAGACTTGGGCAGAGCCTCCCCTCGTAACCCCCAACTTCTTTCTCCATAGCAGAGACACCCCAATGTACACAGGGCTGGGTCTCTGTTCCTCTTTTCCCTGCTGGCCCAGAAATGCAGAAGCATGGCCCACCAACACCCCAGGGCAAAGCTTCTCTGCTTTTATACAGAGAAGTGCTTCAAGTCAAAGTCCAGGTGTGAAGCATCACTGCCTGGTCTTGCTGTGTGACCCGCCAGTAGGAAAGCGACTTGAGGGAACCCAGGGTGAGAGATGGGGCCTGTCTGGCTGGGAGGCCCCACTGTCTCCCAGATCCAGGGATGCATCGCTCCACTCGCAACTTTCCTACAGCAGCAGTAGTTCCAACCTGTGCGTGGGGTTTTCTGCCTCACTGCAGCCCAGGCCACCCTAGGACCAACCCTGTGGCCCTCGGCCCCTTCCTGAGGCAGGCCCCAGATCTCTCAGACCCTGACCCTGCTCCCCAGTAGAGAGGGTGAGGTCAGGTCAGAGAGAGGAGCATGGCACAGATGTGGTCCAGGACACTGGTGCTCTCTGAGGCCGGCACTGGCGGCCCTTTCCCTTAGCCTAGTTGTGGGCCACAGATGTCCCATCACTTAGTGCTTGCCGCTGCCTTTGGGTAATTGTGACACAGTCTTCAGGCTTTCCAGTGGTCACGATGATGGAGCAGAATAAAATCTGCCAGCTGGCAGAGACCTGAAGATGCTGCACCCGTGCTCTGCATATGGCACACGAGAGACACACAGGACATGCCTCACTTGGGTCACCGCACAGGTGGTAGAGAGCTGGGGCCTGAACTTGACACTTAACCTTTGGGCTGATTTACCATCTATATCCTCCTTTCTTTTCCAGGGTCCCTTAATCCTTGACACTTAACCCCTGTTGCCCATAATGCCAGCTTCTTTCAACATAAAGGCACAATGCCGAGAGGCTGGCCTGAGGTTAAAGCAGCAGGGCCCAGGAGGGGTGGAAAGAGGCTGGTTGTAGGTAGACTCAGGCACAGAGCTGAGATCTGGCCAGCTGTGATCTCTCCACACCAACCCTCTTCTCAAAGCAGCATGATGGTGGCCGTGGGGTGCAACAGCGCCTATCAGTTGCATTGTGGGCATTCATCCCTGTGAGAGCCACCCCCGCCACTGGCAGTCTTCCCAGCTGCCCATGGGAGCTCTGAGG